ATGGTACGAACGAGGAAAATCCACTAATGGAAAAGGGACAAATTTAATAATCAGTTCATTCTTGGCATTCAAAACCCGCGAATAATAGAGGCTGCCGTCGATCCACTTAGTGAAAAATGTGGAATAAATCGTAACTATACAGACTAAATTATCACGCACAACCAGGAAGATATGAAATTGATGACCATTGGGAAGTCTTTGGCTGTGGATTTTCTTCCCTGATCGAAATCGAAGTCAGTTATTTTACGCCGAACCGAAGAAGGTTTGCGTAAGTTGGCGACAGGGTGAAGCAATGGGATTCAAATTGACCGGCATAGGCTGTTTTTAGCAGTGCTATTAGGCAAAATTTGACACTCATGGCAATTTCTGCACGTGTGCCTCACGCAATTCTGCATTCAATAGTTGACCAGTATACCCCCAGGTTCATGAACTTTTCAAAGCCAGAGCTATCCCGTGCATGTGTGGACCGGTACTCCCCGCTTGTGTAAGGAATCGCATAATGGTTTGAGGGCTTCCCCTATCATCTAGCGCATCTTAAGAATAGCAAACCGTTCCAAAATTCTTTATTAATATAGAACTAACCCACGCTCACCAAAGTTAAGTGAAATAATCCGGCTTGGATTGCAAACACGTTACTCTTCAATGTCCGTCTCCTGAGTGAAGCTAAGTCGTTCGAGGATGTTCGAAAAAACATCCGGGGTACCTCGTTTCTGAGATAATTCTGTAGTCCCAAAACCCAGGGCTTGTCATAGACCAATTGCATGAATGTGGGCCCGGTGTTTCTATAGCCGAACTGTCAAAGGTCGAATGATTTTATTCCCCTCTACTAAACATTGACCATAGGAAGCTAAAAGTAAGCAAGGGCATCAGCAAACCTGGTTCCTTGGGATCGGGGCAGGTAATGGAAAGACAGATCCTCGAATTGTTGAGGCCAATCCGTCCAAAGGCGTTGTAGGTAGTGACCAAACGCTCTTCCTTTCATTTTCCACTTCCTTAGCTTGGGAGACTATTGAAATTGGAAATCCCCCGAAAATCACAGGACTTTTATCTCTTTTTCCAGGGCGCTTTTCTAACCCCTTAATGGGCAAGCTTCATACTCGGTCTTCATTGTTGGTGTGCAGTCGATAATCTTAACTTGACTGCGATTGGGGACATATTTCTCCACAAGGAGTTTGAAGCCAGCGGACTCTAATTTTCCATTTCCGTGATAATTCAAAGCTCCATCAAAATACATGCTCCCAACGTCCCAAAATATTTCCCTCACGTCAAGAGATCTTCGTCGGGAAACTCCACTTCTTTCCATTTTCGTCTTCCACGGGCGTTTCCGTCTAATTTTGGTTCGCCAAGCTCCTCCCTTTTATATTTGCCTTCTGTTGTTACAATATTTCAAGTCATAGGCTGCGAGCACTGACACCCTTCACCTTAGCCATTCCTGTAAGAACCAGCCTCTCCATAAAGGAATTTAAGGGGTTGACTTCAGAGATAAACATATGTGGTATATAGGTGAAAGGTAGTTGGCTGGCAGCTTTGTAGCAAGCCCTGGTAACTAAAGAGCCAGACATACTTCTCTATTTTATTTATACTTCATTCAGCTCATGGTCTAGCATCCTTTTTGCTAAGGTAGTACAACGACTATTTTTACGTTCCCCTGGTGTCTTCTGCTTGTTTAAGCTAGCATTGCACCTCCCTCACTTCTTTCGTCACACTGTAGGTCAATAGGCAGGTTTTTCCTGGCCTTGGTGGTTGCAAGACGGCTGAGATTAGTAAATACTCGTTTGACCTGATCAAAGCTTTTTTGAGCAATCTCGTTCCTGATTTGAAGCGGTTACCCCGCTTTCCTGAGTAATTTGAATATCGGAACTCAACAAGTATGGCCAATTGATTAATGAACCAGTTGATGTATTTGTACCTTCCCCAGAAACCCCCGAACTTTCCTTTTTCCGTCTTCGGTGCTCCGGCCATTTTTCCAAAATGGCTTTGGCTTTTGAAGGGTCAATCTCTATGCCTTTCCAGCTGACCATAATGCCCCAGAAATACTCCGGATGTTAGCTCCAAACTAGACATTTTTGGCCCCGGGTTGAGCTTTAAATTGTACTTTTCGATAAAGCCTAAGGAAGGAACTACTCAAGGTGCTGTGGGTATATTCTCCATGCTGGTTTTCGATTTAACAACCATGTGTCCCACATCCACCATCAACTTCTTTATTGAAATCATGTTCGTGGAAGATAGTTGTTGGCCATTCTTTGATAAGTTGCCCCGGCATTTTGAGCCCAAAAGCATTTACCCTATAGGCATAGCTTCCCCACTCTGTGATTGAATGTCTGTCTTTTCTCTCTTTGGTCTGGCAACATGCATCATTATCTGATTGTACCCGACAGCGAGATGCATCAAGGGAGCACCATCTCGTGTCAGCCATTCGGTCAAACCAACATCAATATGAGAGGCAAAGGAAAAATCGTCCTTTACGGACATGCTTTAGTTCAGATCCCGGTAGTTCCCCCTTCGACACACATTTCGGCACCTTTCCATGGCCTTCTTTAGGAAACCCAGGGCACTATGTTTCGCTAACCATGCTTGGGTAGTGCAAAGTGGGATCTATGAACTTGTTTTCCAATTGCTTAGCTACTTCCCTCTTGTTTAAAGGACGCATTCTGTTTTCAGCCTCCTTAGCCTTCAGTTTTACCAGGGCTTGCCTCTGGGGTACCCTGGAAATCTTGTGTACTGGCTATTTGGCTGGTCAATTTCCAGTGATGGTCACTAGCCCTTTCCCCACATGAAAGTAAATTTCAGGCAAAAAGCAAACTTCTCAAGCATTTATCAATTGATTGTTCCTGTTCACACAGTCAGATGCAATGTATGTATGTTTCATTTTCTTCTTTTGCCAATGGATTAATTTCTCTTTTTTTTTTTCATTTTTATTTTCATTTAATTTTCTTTTTTCATTCTTTTCCTAGGATAGTGCTTGGAAGATTTGACACGTAGGGTAACCATGATCTGTAAGCTTTTAATTGATGGAGACGGAATCGTCCTCAAAAATTACAATCAAAATTTAAATTCCGGAATTTTCCAATCTGATACAAAAGACCCTTCGGAACTGGCTCTGACCCCTCGATTTCAGACTCAAGGTCAAACTCAGACTAGTACAGGAACTTGACATCAGGTCCAGACTCTAGGTTTGGCTCGGGAAAGGGGTTTGTTCAGGCAGAGCGCTCTCCTCTGTATAATAACCAGTTGGTGAGAGGCCCTATTATTCGCTTGATTCAGGCTCAGCAATCTTGGTTCCCATCATTACTAGTATAATACAACCCTCGTCAAAGAGACTGGGGTCTGCATGAGATCTTCTATCTCGCATCCCAGCTCTGGTTATTGCCTCTGGCTTGTTTGTTCACCAGGCATCAGCAAATATTTCCAGCCCGAGCAGGCATTTTTCTTAGCTGTCGGGCAGTAGAGTGTGGGTTTCTGGAAGGCTAACAATAGGAATTGTT